CTACAGTTACAAACACCGGCTTAAGTGGAATGCTGTACTGCAGTGGCTGCCAAACTTGTTCTGCAGCGCCCCCTTGTGTACATTTACAGACAGCTTCAAACCTCACTGTTCTTTCAAAGTCCTGTCGTTGTTTTTATTTCTTATTCTCGTGCAACAAAAGGAGACATAAAATACAATTTAGTGCAAATAAGAAAACATTAACTTTTCTTTCTTTTTTTTTGCTGCAGTGGCCCTGAAATAGGTCTCTGCCCCTCACTTTGGGAACCACTGCTAGTGTAAACTAATGACTGAAGACTGTACAGCACAGCATGTTGTGTCATGGACACACATTCATAACAGTTACCATAGAAATGAAACAACAACACACACAGATTCAAACATGTTTTCAACTATAACCTCTTTATATTGGCAACAATTCCGTAAAAATATAAAAATAAATATTGGACTCTAATCTTCTTTGCGTTTGGATTGAAAAGATTTTCTTCATTAAATCTGACCTCTGACCTCTGCATTTACTCCGTTCAAATTAATCCAGATTGGAATGGGCCAATATATTTATATATATATATGTATATATATGTGTGTGTGTGTGTGTGTGTGTGTACAGGTCTGTGGCTCATGACAACAGCACTGATCAGACCGTGACCCAGCGACCAAAGAGGAAACAGTCCACCGTTTTGATGGTGTCAGCTGATTCGACACCCACACATGTACTAAACACGGGTCACATAAACCGATTTAGACTGCCAGAGACTCCCCACCCCCCCGCCCCCCCCCAGGAGCCACTTTTAGCATGCTGTCACTTTGATCAGAACATACTGCAGATAGCTGAGGTGACTGTGATAGGGGGCGCAATTCTGCAGAAGACATAGAGAAAAGTCTGACTCTTATATTAACAGTGAGAAACAGAACGAGTGGACTTTAATCCCTGACCAGTTGACCATAGACTCACAGCCAGTCCAGGACAGAACTCATGTGACGGCCCGACTGCACAGCACAGATAACACAGGCTGTGTTTGTGTTTACTGGGCTGGGCTCAGCTGGGCCGCTGTGTTTCCTGCAGTCTGAACAACAAGGAGACAGACTAAAACAACTGGACCGGGGGGCCCTCCGCTCCGTGGCCCCTCGGTGTCTTTGTCAAATATTCTGTTGATTTGGTAAATGTCCAGACATCTGTTCACTTTTTTTTCTCTTCTGTGTTGACTGGTGTGGAGTGACCACCGTGGCTGTGTCTCAGACTGGACTGTGTTTTTTTACCCTGGTGCCTCAACTCTGCACGTTCAGCCTCAGCAGCCTGGGGACTGTGTCTACTGACATCTGCACAAATTAAAAAAAAAAAACTGGTTTCACGACATGAAGGTAAATTAATGTACCAACTAGTAGTGAATATTCATAGACAGAGAATACTTCAGTACTACCTCTGAGAACATCAGTCACATCTTTACTAACTGTCTGCTGACAATCAGCTGTAGAAAAACACTACAGCCTGGGGAGCCACCCCCCCCCCCCCCCCCCCGCATTACTGAAGAATGAGCACATATGGGGAGGGAGGGCTTTTTTTTTTCTTTTTTGTTGGACAAAAACACCTGGAAAGTAAATGAGGCGATGTTTAGTAGTTGGTGATTAGAACTGGAATGTATTTTCTATAAAGTAAAAACTAAAGGACGTTTAATCTCCTCTCATCGTCTGTTGGTTTTTGGTCTACCTTCGACCGACACTGACAGAGGCAGAGGTTTGGTACAGACTTGTGAAAATGTCAACTTCTGATTTTAAAAATGCCATCTGGTTCTTAACAAGTCAGAAACTTTTAGGTCTGAGACATTCACATCAGATCAGCGACGACAGGCAGAGCAAATAAACAGAAGTGAATCTGACCTGGTGTCAGTTCTGTGGAGTTTCCTAAAAACAGAGTGAACCATCGGCTCAGAAACAAAGTCACATGAGCTGTGATGAGGTACATGTTCAAAATAAAAAAAAAAGTGGTTTACAGTAGTAGCTTCAACTGAAGTCAGTCTGATCTGGGGTCTCCTGACCTTACCTTCACAGGTCACCAGTCAAACTCAGCAGTGTGAACACGTCAGCTCCTTCTGACTGAGTGAACATTAGAAGGCAGTATTGACAGGGGATGGAACTTTGCTGCAGTTTCCGTTGGGGTCCGTGGCGGCCTCTTCCACGGTGCAGACAGCTGCAGCTCTCTCTGGAGCGCTCTCATTGGCCTCGCTGTCCTCTGAGTTGGCCTTGCTCCTCCCCTGCTGCTCGCTGTGCCACCGGTGTCTGCTGAAGACGTATCCGTTCTCCGGCCCAGGGTTCCTCTTCAAACACAGGATCTCCTTAAAGGCATACCTGAACTCGGGACTTCGGCAGTAAATGAGTGGGTTGAAGGCCGAGTTAGCGTACCCTATCCAGTTGAGAATCCTGAACGTCAGTTCGATGTTTTTCACCTTCCATATGGCCACCACTACGTTGAGCAGAAAGAAGGGCAGCCAGCACAGAGTGAAGATGCCCATGATGATGCCCAGTGTCTTCAGGGCTTTATGTTCACGGAGGCAAAACTTCATCTTCTTCTGGGCTCGCCCGTTGGTGGCCTCCAGGGCCATGAGGCAGCTGTTGTTGCTGTTGTGAAAACGTCCAACGCTCTGATCGATCTTCTTCAGCTGCTGCTTGGCTGCCTGGTACACACGGCTGTAGACGAAAACCATGATGACCAACGGGATGTAGAAGGAAATTATGGAGGAGGTAATGGCGTACGCCATGTTGGTGTAGAACTCACAGCATTTACTGTCCTGAATGCACTCCTTGGCCTCGATTTCGTCCGATATCCACCACTTCATGTGGATGGGCAGGAAGGAAATCAGGGCCGCGATCACCCACAACAGCACCACCACAATGCGAGCCTTGCACTTGGTCAGCATGGACTGGTAGCGGAACGGAGAAGTAATGGCTAAGTATCGATCTATCGCGATGACACACAGGGTCTCGATGCTGGCGGTCACACAGAGCACGTCTGTGGCGGTCCAAAACTCACACCAGAAACTACCGAAATGCCAGGTCCTAAAGATGATATAACAAGCACCAAAGGGAACAACAACCAGACCCATGACCAGGTCAGCGCAGGCCAGGGACGTGATGAAGCAGTTGGTGACATTTTGGAGCCGCTGGAAGCGGGCGATGGCCACGATGACCAGGATGTTACCAAAGACGATGCAGAGGACGAGTAAAGACACCACGATGCCCAGCAGGATCATTTTAGGTTGGCTGTAACCTTCCTCATGCTCAGGCTGGACCGAGGAGGAGTTGACCATCTCAGCACTCACACTGAGGAACACTGGGGGGGCTGTGCTTCCCATCTGATGAGAACAGGAGTGGATTAAATACGCACACAAACGCCAGTGAACATAATATGAAAAGCCCTGAACCACAACTGTCTCTCAGCCAGTGCATGCAAAGCTCTTGAAAACCAAAACCGTCTCTCAGCCAGTGCATGCAAAGCTCTCATTAAAAAAAATGCATTTTTTGCATGACTTTCAGGAAATGCATGCTTTTAAGAGAAAACCAACAAAGAAAAAAAAGTACGAACCTCCACAAATATTTGTTCTGCCTTCCATAAAAAAACCCAGAAAAGTGCTGTTCAGGTACTTTCTGTAAAGTATTCCATGTGACTTTCTTCAGTTTCTCTGCTCTTCTAATCTCACTCTCTCCTGATCCGTGCCTCCCTGGGCGCCTCACTCACTCTGTGCCTCCAACAAGCTGCGTTTCCTCTAATGTGTCTCCAAGACTATTTGTCAGAGCCCTTATAATGTGCAGCAGTGACATCACACTCAGTGCTGAGCCAATCAGAGAGTCAGCCTGGGTTAGGGTGCTGAGAGCTCCGGAGAGTTTGAACACACTGTCCTCAGCCACCGCTGCAGGGCAGCATGGGAAAAAAAAAAGAGTTAGGAGACGAGTGAAGGAGGTGACGATGAGTCTGAAGAGTCTGCACTTGAAACACAGGCATCACGTCCAGCTCTGAGGGTCAGGGTCTGTGGAGGGTTTGAATCCGCCCCACATTAGAAACCTCCTAAAACACAAATACATTTCCTCCTGTTCCAGAGTCAGAATAATCCCCAGCTCGTATCAGACTGAGATTTGTACACGATATCCAAAACCGAAAAATACCAGAACCAAAATAGGAGACAAAGCAGAGTTCACATCAGCACCTGATGCAAATCCTATGGAAATTCTTTAAACAAATATTATAATGTAACACTGACAGTGTTCTTCCATGTTAACACATACAGAGTTCTGACTGTAGTGAAGTGCCTTCATTCAGGTCCTGTATTTGAAGAGTATTTCAATAAACGACACCTGGTTCTCACCGCTCGTCCGTCTTCTTCTTTTACTTCTTTTTCTATTTTGTCTCTCATTGAGTCCAAGTGTGATCACAATTTACCAAAAAAAAAAAAAAGAAAATACTTGTAAATACTCTATAAACGTGCTGATGGGGTCAAAGGTCAACACAGTAACTCAAAGATGAAACTGTACACGGAGGAAGTCGTTTTACTGAGACTGTGTTTGAGTAAACAGAGCCGTGAACAATGTCAAGGTGACGAGGAGATGGAAGACAGAGCGTAGAGTCCAGGAGTGAAACTGGTTTACACTGGGAGTGACAGGATACAGGAAGACAGACGTCACGCTGAGGAAACCACCGCTGATTTACACAGCAGGCCGTTCCAAAACAGGACACTGGACAGAAACTGCAGTTCACGTACGGGATATACGTATTTCACGGCGTGCACGACTGGACATTGACCACTAGGGGTCCGGTACAGTGAGGTGAAGTGTGAATGATGCTGTGAACTCACAGGACCTTTAAAAGGTGCTCAGCAGACACAAGGACACCAACACTGAGTCTGGACCTGTCAGACATACAGTACATGTTCTCCACTGGTCATCACCACCATCATCTGTAGAACTGTAGAACCATCTGCTGTAGAACTGTTCCACAGCAGCAGTCCATGCCTCAGGGCTGAGACAACATCCTGGCTGCCTGAATCAATCTGAGGGTCTGATCTGGAACGTCACCACAAACTGTGCAAATATGAATCATAATAACAATAATAATAATAATAGTGGTATAGTAATAGTAGTGATAGTGGATATTATTCTGCTGCTGACAGAATTTCTGGTCCACAGTTCTCATGGTGGACGATCGGTCCTGTGAGACATTGTTCTCTCAGTTTGACCCTCATAAAAACTGCTGCAGAAAAACAAAGTCAAATCAACAAACATGGCATTTACAACTTCTGGCCTCTGGCCAGAACAACAACACGATCGGGGGGGGGGTCCATTCTTATAGTCCTCCTCAGCACCGAAGGATTCTGCCTTAAATGTATTGACATTAATCTACATTTCTCTAAAATGGTAGACACACACACACACACATATATATGTCTCATTTAAATCCTGCTGATTATAGAGTGGCGTTCACTTTCATTCAGGAGCGTCGATGAAGATGGTGACGACGTGAAGGTGATGTGAATGAATAAACGGCTGCAGGTTTTAGAGGTGATGGGCTGAGAGAATCCTGAGAACCAATCACAGAGCAGCTGATGTTATTAAGAACAGATATGAAGTTGGAGAAGTCTTCATTATTCATGGGGCGGTTACGCAGAGACGCCTGGAGCAGTGTCATCTTCACACCTCAGACCTCAGACCTCAGACATCCCATCATTCCAGCTGTGATGTAGCTTCAGTGGCTAATGATCAGTTCAGTGTTTGAACTGTTGATGATTAGGTTTAATTACTGTGTTGTTTGGTTTATTTTCTGTATGTGATATTTTTAATCTGTGGTATAAATTTGTGAATGTGTCCAGTGCTGTGAAGAATACTCTCTGTATTTCCAAGTGTTTTTATTCCGTTTGAAACGTCTCTTCTCCGTCACTGACACAACCTGTGTTCATTACACAGAGCAGCTGTTATGATGGGTCGTGTTGTCAGCTCCACTGCTGCTGCTACAGCCATCGGTCCTACTTTTGATGTAAAGCAGGTTTGTGTTGGATTTATAGACAGTATGTGACCAAATGACTGTACACTGGCCTCTGCTAAAAACTTTGATTGTATTTTCCCTCTGATAATTCAGGATTATTAACAAGTCTTCTACTTCCTTCTGCCTTTAGGCTTTAATGTTCATTTTGACTGTTAATTTTGACTGTTAATTCTGAAGGTTGAGGATGTTCTGTCAGCAGTGACTCTTTATGCTGAAGAACTCAACAGACAACAGAGACATTTCAAACCTTGTGAGAAGACAACAAACGTGCCCCCAGAACGTAACCCCTAAAACTTTTCCGTTCAACAACCACATGAAGCCTTTGAGGACACAGATGAGTGGAGTGGCCTGTTAGCAGCCGTCTCACTTCACCGACCAATGAGGTTGACTGTGGGTCGTCCTCACACTAACGACTTAACGACACAATGACACGGCAGGTTAATTGAACCAAATCACAGGCTAAACCAGAGAGGACCGGTTTAGTGGTGTCTGTTGTAGAGTTCACTGAAGAGACAAATACACTCATTAACTTCCTGCTCAGGCCTGTTCAGGTAGAAAAACAAGTTTTCTACCTCGTCATAATGCCACTCATTAACCTTTGACCTGTCTGAAAGCAAAGACAAATACAAACTCAAACAAACAGATCAGGCTGCTGCATCTGTTCAAACACATCAGGGGTCCAGAGAAAATTTAGATATCATCAAAGGCTCCGCTCTTTAATAGAAAATCATTGTGCTACATCAACATGTGGTTCTTAACAGGAAACGGAGCGCCTCGGTAGAAGGAAACACAAGACGTTAGTCTGAGACAGATAACAAGGTGACACTTTTGCTAACACAGCGTAAACAACACCTTTCTAGCAGAGGTTGCAGAGGTCAATCAGAGTGTGTTACAATACCATACGTTACATGTCACAATAAATGAGATATATTGCGATAAACTACTAACCATTCCTGTTTTGTCTCCTGCAGACGACTCAATACTTCTACATGTTGACGATGGTCATGTCTGCGTTCTTTGACGTGGGCAGAGAAACAGAACCGGGTTCTCTGTGACAGCACACAGGATGTGTTGATTGCTAATCCAACCTCTGGCTGCTGTGCCCTCACATCTAGTTCCTCTTTCTACTGCCAGGAGACGAACTGTCTCATCAGATACCACCAGAGGAAGAAGTAAATTGGACTTGTGTAACACTTCAGGTCTGCAAAAAAATGTGGCCGACTTTGATGCTCAGTTTGCTGCACGTCTGTGTTACAGAACGGTACTGCATGCCTTCACAGTGGTCAACATTTACAATATTTCTAACATAATTACTGTATTATAAATCAAGTCCATTTGCTTGATCATCACAGACAGCACCGAGAACAGAGAAGAGTTTATATTAGTTTATAACAGGAACAAACTGTTTCTCAACTGTAAACATTCACCCTGAAACCTGCAGCTTTTACAGAACTGTTTCCCAGAGGCTCAGGAAGGTGACGTAACAAGTGGAAGTCCTCTCTGTGAAGACATTCATCAAAGGATTGGTGAGAACTCTATGACTAGAATGAAGGCCTGCAGGGGGAGCCAGTCAAAATGACACTGTCTCTTTAAGTCTAATAAACAATTGATTACAGGTGTCGTTAACCTTTTCCCCAGATACGCAGCAAATGTCACCGCCTGGTTATAGACTGCCTCAGGGGGAACACTTGTAGCACAACATTAATATCATCAAAGCCAACTAGGGATGTCAATACTTCTTAGCAAATCAAACAAAGAAACATGAAATATTAAAAACAGCAACATATATTGTACGGTTGTCCCTTTATTGTGACATGTATACACACACTTCTATGACTCACTCTTTTCTAGTCTCTTTTCATTTAACTACATTCCAGACAGGATAAGTCTCTAAGGAGAAGTGAAATAACTGTAGCGATTAGCCTTGACTGGGCGGAGTCATAATAACCATAGAGATCAGCTGACCTCTGAACGCCCTGTCATGTTGCTCCATTAGACTTCCTTTATTTAGCCATAGTTTGAGAAACACAAACACCCAAATCCACCCAAAGCAGTGAAAACAAACATGTCCCCCATTACATAACGGATGTATGTAATGTACGGAGGGGAGCGGCTCAACGCACACACTGGCCCACGACCAGAGGGACACTGAAAACATCTGACTCCATCAGCAGACAGAACAGACAAGATCAGCAGAGCGACAATGAAAGGTCGGCAGAAACTCATCTTCAGACTGATGTTCTGTTCAACCAAACAGAAGTCGGCCAAAAAAACAACAAAAAAACAAAACAAACAATGGAAGAAGCAGACAGACAGACAGACAGACAGGCAGACAGACAGCCAGACAGACAGGCAGACAGACAGACAGACAGGCAGGCAGACAGACAGACAGGCAGACAGACAGCCAGACAGACAGGCAGACAGACAGACAGGCAGGCAGACAGACAGGCAGACAGACAGCCAGACAGACAGGCAGACAGACAGACAGGCAGACAGACAGACAGGCAGGCAGACAGACAGGCAGACAGACAGACAGGCAGGCAGACAGACAGGCAGACAGACAGCCAGACAGACAGGCAGACAGACAGACAGGCAGGCAGACAGACAGGCAGACAGACAGGCAGGCAGACAGACAGACAGACAGACAGGCAGACTAATGAGATAATGTAGTTGTTCCCAGGAATACTGAAGGAGCTTTGTGCAGGAAATCCATGGGTAACCAGTACATCTGGTCTGTGAGGGATGAGTGTCATGTTATGTCTTTGTCTCAGACAAAGTTTGTGAGGTGGGAGTCAGCAGTAAGAAGATGCAATGAATTCATTTCCCTGAAGGAAATCTTTGTAAAGTAGGAAGAAGCCGACTTCATCTTTGGTACGACGTCATGTTCAAACCAACATCAGGTCACATGCACCAACACACGACTTCCTGTGTTCACTCAAAAAAGTCTGTGTAGGTTCTCAGTCATCCAGGTCATTTTCTGCAAAAAATAGTTACATCGATGGCAAATAGAGAAATAGAGAAGAGGGCATTTGGGAGACATCCAATATAACTGTGGTTAAAAAAACACACACTCTCAAATGCATTATTGGCTGCACTCCAAGGCTAACCTTAATGGAGTTACATGACGGAGAGTGCACTGGTAATTCCTTTAGAGAAAATGTACGTTTTCTTTCTGTAGTTCCAAACCAAGCAAAGTCAATAACAATCATGCAGCGGCCACTAAAAAAATGTCATGGACCAGTGGGTGTCGACCCACATCAGTAGACACACCCTGTTGTCAAAAGAAACAGACGAACAAATGAACCACAGACTGAAAATAATATAATCCACAGTATACAACCTTATCTGTCACTGTGTGACCCTTACTTTACTTCAGGTCGACCAATCACAGTTCATGACTAAACCATCGTATACCTGTTACCAGGAAGTACCAGTTGCACTCTTTTCAAATGTGTGTGTGTGTGTGTGTGTGTGTGTAACGACCACACCGTACTTTATTCTTTTTTTCAGCAAAATAAAGTCCACTAACGATTCCCACGATTATGTGATAGGCAGGAAGCTAGTGCTCTTCTAGTACTCCAGGTAATAAATAATAAATGCCTTCAATTCTGAATTTTAACTAGAAATGCATTAGCATTGTGTTCCAGTAGAGCGCCCGTATAATTATTCATTTTGTTTGTTCTCCATCTACACCGCCGTCTCTGACGTGTTGTTTACGAAATTGGAAAGAAAAGGATAATAGGCCGTCGTCCTGCTGCTCACTGCACTGCATATAAATGGAGCGGTTTAGAGAAAATAAAGACGGCATTAGAAAGAACATGTCAGAGATAAAGACATTCACTCCCAGGTCCACGCTTCCTCCTCTCTCGATTCAACTTTTCCACTCAGCAGAGCTCATCCGTATTTGTACGGATTAGAACTGACGATGTCATAGCGACCCCTTTAGAAAGGTTTTTCTTTTTAAATAGTCACATTCAAAGTTAAAATGTCACTGTGATTATTAGATAAAATCCAACAAAGTATTTGACCTGAATCATTTTCCCACAATATTCAAAATTAGTTCTGTGTCAAGAATCTAGTGATACAATACATTTCACAATAGAGGGGCAACAAGACGACATACTGTGATATACTGATACTATTGGTACAATGATACAGATTTATTTTCCCCCCAGTGGAGGAAATACCACAATATTTCAGTGTCTGTCAAAGATGTGACGTTAAATTATTCCTTCATCAAAAGTGTGGATGCTTCAGCAGAGACTGGAATGTTCTGGACACATTAAAGCTGTTCAGACCTTTGACCAGGTCACACGGAAGGAAAAATAAAAATTCTAACATTATGTATAATATGATATATTAGAATTTCTACATAATAAAATATATGTATGTTTATGCATTTTCTATACTTCCTAATATACATTTTTTACTTTTATATCTTCTAGTACTATTACTGCTATGTGTTTGACAGACTTTTGTTCCTGGAGTGATTGATGTCATCAAGCCATGATGTAACTTCATGATTCCGGCTTTGATCTCATACTGTACCAGTCTTTGATGAAAACGCAGTAATGTTTCATAAATCCCACTCAGGGCAGGAGGTAGAAAGTAGTACATACAACTGCAACATCACAGATGTCATCTGTTGTGAAACATTACAAATAGGCGCCAGACTCCGTGCTGTCAGGTTAGAAAGAATAAAAGTCTACAAACAGGCAGTAATGCAACATAATAGAGACCAGTTGTTGTTTGAAACCCACACCAACTGGATGCCTGCTGCCGTAACATCAAAGAGGAAGAAAACCATGGTTCTGTTGATCGGCGTACCAGCGATAAAGCAGCGTGTGAATGAGGACCCAATCTGAGACCAGTACAAGGCAACATGATGACTGTCCGACGGCACCCTTCAGAGTTAAAGAGCAACAAACCGCCTGTACTGCCACCCGTTAAACACCACGCCCAGAAAATACAAAACGGTTTTTGCCCCAAACACCAAGCTGTCAAGCTGCCCTCTGTACCCAGGGGCCAACTCAACTACCCACTGGGACAGTCTCTTCCTACAAACATTGTCAAATCTCTGCAGACCACCTCTCAGCAGCCCACTGTTGCAGTAGGTGTCCATGTTCTCCAGTCACAACTGTAGGTACATGTGACAGCTGAGTACTTCACAATTAAAGTGTGTTTTCTGGATTTTCTTACCAGCGCCGGAGAAGTCTGCAGACCTCAGGAACACAGATCTCAGGGTTTGTCAAGAAAAACCAAAGGGTGATGTCCTCTGCCCGAAAACCGCCCCTGTCCAAAGAAGGTAAAAACAGTTGGGTTGGGATTATTAGTACTGACAAAGAGGTGGGATTATGTCGTAAAGTTGTAACAAGTTTGTTGTTCTGTCTGACGTACAGTTATACAGAGACACGTCAAGCAGTATCTGACCAAGTATGAGCTGGAGGAAATCAAGCGTTACAAGAATGTGTGGTACCTGGGAGGTATGATCAAAAAGGTTCAGGGCTGCGACTCTGATCCCAACAACTCTGGCTACGACAACATGGAAGGATTCTACAAAATAGTAAGAGCTTTGGGTTTTTCTTAGAGTCCATGTCAGTACTTTATAGGACCTACAAAGACACTGCTATAGTGTGAATGCCTACAGTAACTGGCAGCTGAAATAAAGCATTTGGTTCCAACGTGGAGATGTTGTCCATCACAGTCTCATAACAGAACTCTCCACTGTTACTGTCACAGGTCATCAATGACCATCTGGCGTTCCGCTATCAAATCCTGGCGATCCTTGGAAAAGGGTTTTCAGGGCATGTTCTGAAATGCAAGGATCACAAGACCATGGAACTGGTGGCGGTCAAGATAATCAGAAATAATAAGAGGTAAAATGTCTTTGTGAGCACGGAACAGTCCAGAAGAACTCACTTTAATCTCCTCTGTTGTAATAATTCAATGACTTTGTCAATTCCAGGATTCCACAAATGGCCAAGAATGAACTGGAAATTCTAGAAGCTCTACAAAAATTTGACAAGAAGAGCACAGCCAACATCGTACACATGAAGGAGAAATTTTACTTCCGCAACCACCTGTGCATCACCTTTGAGCTCTACGAGTAGGTTCTCTGCTTGTGTTCTGTTTGGAACTCTTAGTTCTGAATCACTGTGGTTCCTAGATGGAATTACAAAAAAAAAAAACAGCTTACTTTTCATGTTACTTTGCAGGAGGGACCTTAAAAAAGTGTTAAAAACTGACATGCGAAGAGTCAACGAGACGGAGCTGAGGAAGTACACCATGGACGTACTGCGATGTCTGCAGCTCCTCCGAACAAAGAAAATCATCCACGGGGACATAAAACCGGTAAAGACTGGTGTTTCAGAGAAACATGTGACACACTTTAGATTTTATTCATGCCACGACTGTCATGGTGAGCCAAGGACTCAGCTGTCTGTCAGTTACTGCCTCCACAGATCATTAATAATTCTAACTTTATTCTAATATTACTACAGTCTCTGACTTCATTCGTCAACTTTTATAACTTGTCCTTTCAAATGTACCAAAGATATCCAGGTTGGTTTTAAATATTTTCTGGTAAATGATTTTACAGTTAATTCAACTCTGATGCTTTTTTAACAGGAAAACATACTGATCCAGAGGAAAGCTCTGGGACGACACGCAGCAGTCAGTGACTTTGGAGGAAGCTACTTTAAGAAAGACAGCTTCGAACGTAAAAACAACAAAGTTTGGTTTGAGTCCAGAAATATTTTGACAATTGTGTGATTAAAAAACATTTTTTTCCTTTGCAGACAAACCTCTTATCCATACATTAAATTATGCATCTCCTGAGGTTCTCCTGGGTGAAAAATGTGGGCCGGCCACTGACATGTGGAGCATGGGCTGCATGTTAGCTGAGCTTCACCTGGGCTTCGTGCTTTTTAAGGGACATGACAACGAAAGCCAGTTCTGCCGTATAATGCAGGTGCGTGACTCACACAGTGCAGACGGTGGTGTCGTCAGTCAAGATAAGACTTTAGTAACGTTTGATTATTTACTTCAGGTGCTGGGCGTCCCGCCTAAAGAGCGGCTTTTAATTTCACCACAGCAGCACAAGTATTTTGGCAAGTACATTTTAAGAAAAAATCCAAAAAGAGTACAAAAAACATTGTGTTGATAAGTCAGGAAGTTGAAAAACTAACCAGAACCATCTGGGTTCTGCAGATCCCACAGGAATCCCTAGAAGGATTAGTGACATCGCAGATCAGAGCACCACTCTCGAACATGTATTGAAAGCGAGGAACCCTGATTTTGTTGATTTCATAAATCGTTGTCTTGAGTAAGTACACACATGATCCACATGTCACTGACTGTAGAGAAAGTACTGTATTTTATGGATATGAAGTATAATTTTTCTTTTACTTCATATCGTAGCTGCTCGCTACAACCTACGGTTAAATGTATTTATATTTTATAACGTGTGGATGTGATGTTTGTTTCTATCATCACTTCAGCGTGACCTCACTCTGTGCATGTGTTTTCATATTCAGATATGATCCAGAAAAACGTCTCACACCGAACCAGGCTCTAAACCATCCCTGGATACTGAACACAGGTGTCGTACGATCTCGATCAGGTAAGAGCTCTCGTTCCTCAGCCACATAATTCATAGGTTTGTGAGGACCATGTGCTTACAAATATTATACTATAACATAGTAATACAGTAGAATTTGGATTGGAACAAGTTGTACTACACACATGCAGTATGGTGTTAGCATTTGTGTGTGTAAAACCAACCTCACACGTTTGTCCCCGGACCAGTCTAAACCCTTTGCACATCAATTAAACTAAGAAATATTTTTTAAAGAAACTAGCAAAATAGTTTGGAGATGTGCACACCATGTGTGATGCCATGAAGAAGAAGAGAAATGAAGACGATAAAGACCAAAGAGAGAAGTACACCTCTAAAGACCGTCCCGTCACCGATGGTTCAAAATTCTCTTTCACCATCTCAGAGAAAAAGACTTCATGATGTCTGACACAAGTCTGCTGCTTACATTTACTGAAAAAAACTTTCAGCTTTTTTCAATATTTGTTATGTAATATAATTATTTGTACAAATTCTAACTGGTTAGATCGTGTTCTCCATGTAAACTTGAAAAAAAAAAGTGCCAGTATGTCAGTACACACAGTATATGTGTACTTTGAAGTAAAGCTGTGGTTGTAGCCTTAGTGGTCTAAATGTGAGGTCACAGGCTGTGGGTCACAGAGAAGAAAATAAATATCATAATTCACAATTAAAGTCATTCTCAACGTGAGCGGTAGAAGTGTGATCCTAGTCTGAGAAAATGATCCAACACCAGGAATATTGGACTGGGAATTGGTGATAAAAAAATCAATAACCGATGGAGTATATTGATAGGGTAGCAAGAAATATCGCAGTATCTCAACGTATCGATATTTCCTTCTACTCCTATCATCAGCGAGAGTGTATTTTTCAGGGTAACTTCTAATAACTGGCAGTCCTACTCAAAGTGTTGGGTCAAATAAAATGTAGATATTAAATTAGATTAGACCTTTGTGACCGTCCACTCATCCACTGATACCAAATCCTGCTGTAGTTTTCCATCCACTTCCACATAAAACCCTTGAATCCCTGAATAAACAAAGACACCTAACCCTTCCTCAAACTGTATCCTTAGCTCGTAAACGAGACCAGGAAGAATGCTGATGCTGTCATCACTGTCATCAGTGTTTATCTGCCTCCATATCCTGGAGTGGAGCTTCTTTCAGTAAAGTCTGAGTCTTAGACGTGACGGAGACAGTGGACATTTTCTTCTTATGTTTCTTTGACCGTCTTCTTCCTGTCACCCTCTCCTCAGACGCCTCAGTGTCGACCAGCAGGATGCCCACAACCACCATGCTGAAGAGAGAGACAGTTATATCTAAGCAGATGCAGCCGAACAAGAAGACCAAAGCAGGGAAGGGAGGGAATTTAAGAATAAACAGATATTGACAAGTTGTTAACGTTTAAACATTTAAAGTCTTAAAAGCACGGGGTGCTGCAGACATAATGACATAAAGACGGCGTTTTCTTTTTATATTTGACTTTATTTATCCGTTGCCATGGGGCGGGTCCCATTATTTCATGAACCAATCAATGAGGGCGGACTCCTCTGTGACTTGAAAAGTTGACCTTTTCCCCATTGATCTGATAGAAATGTTCGTAGGCAGATGACTGAGTCTGTTTCTGACACTGAGGTAATCAAAAAAATAATCTAACACGATGTTGAACCAACTCATCTAAATATTTTTGACTAATTAATGTTTAAAGTTTAACCACATTATGTCATGTCATTATGACAGCAGTAGAAACCAGGGGGACGTGTTCTCTCCTTTGTTTTGGGCCCAGAATCAGACCTAATGTTCCGTTCAGTCGTCTGTCATCACATGTTCAAGCTAACAGTCCATTTGTTCCCATAATGCCTAGAGTTGTGGGCGGCTCTGCATCAGTGGAACTGTCTGGGGTCAGCTGGACCACCTCCCCCCACATGGGGGCCAGATAAGATTAGAGCACCTCAGCCCTTTCAGGAAGCCACTTATATGAACTGGCAGGAACTCACACTTGAACCACAAACAACTCATGAAGTCTGATATTATAACCTCGGTATTATGTCCAGAACAAAGGTTACATTTACGTATGTTTTCCCAATTAAACCGTTGAAACCAACCCATTTCACCGACTGGTGTGTTTGTGCAGCCAGTTATCACAGGTCACACGTGGCTTCTGTAAGTTCCAACTGGACGGTACGTGTCAGAACCTTGTCAGCTGAATGACGTGTCCCCGTCCAACTCAACGCCACTGAAGCCTAACATGGAATGGAATTGTGAGTCCACTCCAAGTGTCACAGGCTACCAGGAATAATAACCTGGTGCCTCTAATGCTAGACCTAAATCTTGTGAGCGGCATTACTGCCACCTAGTGGATCTATTTTTATGCAGATAATATCCTGATGACCGTCAACAAATGCTCAGGTTTTTTTCTATAAAATTCATTCTATCTCTAACAAACTCTTCAGTCTGTACCAGATTTCATGTCTTCTTTTCAAACCTCTTTGCTGTTGGAACTTATTACCATCTGACATGATTAATAGGAGACACTGTTGCCTAGCTACTGATATTTACTTTGGGTTAATAAAACAGCACTCACTTCCAGGCTCTGCACAGGTGATCTGGTTTTAAGCTGTTTGTTTTTATGTCTCCTTTTATGTTGTCTGTTACTGATCAATGTTTGAGGCCCGTGTGTTTGAATGGTTCGGTCTATGTTACTGAGGTTTTCTTTGTTTGCGTAGAAACCGTCTTCCAACACATTTGCCGTCGGTGCGATTTCTCTAAACTGTTCTTGAGATAAAAAACCAAAGACATGTTGTGATGAAACCCTGACTCTGAAGAAACTGACGACCTGGACATTTGACATTCCACTGGCACAGCATCACAGGTCCACTTCTCCACGTATCAGCTTCTGTACCTCAGATAATAAAACCAAAATAGTCCATTACGGTGATTGTGCTGGTCTGCTACACAAGCAGCAATTACAGAGCTCTCTGATCCAAACTGCACCTGAATGCATCCAAGACAGAGGCTTCTCTCTTTAATCAAATGTTCAGACTAACAAACCCTGATGAGCTCTGCTTCAGAACTGACTGAAAAATAATCATGAAACATAAAAGGCTGTGTTCTAGCTACAGATTAGGCAGACTTACAGAATATATATAAAAATATATATATAAAAAAATATTTTTCATATATTTTCAGCCAACAACTCAGAAGAGGAACTCCTTTCTGGGAACAGGGCCAGGCTCCAACAGTGTTCTAGTACAATGGAGCGTTACAGTAACAAAGCCCAGTCTTTTCAGTTGAACAACTTAAGATAAGTATCATCTGTTCTAGTGTGGTACTTGTAGTAATCAGTCTTGTACTACAAACAAGAAAGAGCAAGAGGAAACAAGGAAGGAAGGAAGGAAGAAGGGTAGAAATATTACTGAAGTGTCCTTATGGATTGTTGTATTTTATAAGGTATTAATCACAGAGTATTGATTCCTCTACTTCCTGTCTTTACAATAGGGCCGTCAGGCTGCAGTTCCCTGTATTGACCTGGCTTTTCATAACACAAAAAAATCCATCACCAAAGATTTTCTAAAGACTCTGTGGTTTTTCAGCTGATGGTTCACATCCTCATTCACCGCTGTCTATTCAGAACGTTGTCATTTGTTGGAAATGGACGATAAAAGAACTCTTTGTTGGACACAGAAGGAGGCGCTGTAGTCAATCCTCCAGTCCACGAGTTAGACACTTTGAAAACATTGATCCTCCTGAGGCCCAGTCCCCCCCCCCCCCCCCCCACATTAAAAAGTTCAAGTCCGTATTATGGTAATGACCAAGTAGTTTGGTCCAATGTGTGAATGTGTGATACAAAACAACAGAGACTCCTTCTTCGGCCGGCTGCCCCTCAGTGACGCTGCTCCTCTGAGAGGAGACGATAAATAC